ATAAGAAAAATAAAAGTACCATAATATTTTATTATTGATTAAAAAAATTCATCCAAACTAAATCAAACATAATATAAAAATGAAAAAAAAATTATTATAATAATGCATAACATATTTTTCAAACATAAACGAACGAACAATCGAATGATTGTTCGCGAACAGATGGATTAGTCAAACGTATAATGTTCGCGAACATAATCGAACGAACAACCCCTGTTCGAACTCGATCGAACATATTATCGAACGAATATCAAACTGTTCGCGAACATTATCGAACAGTAATCGAACGAACAACGAACGTTCGCGAACTGTTTGGTTCGTTTGCAGCCTTAATTGTAGGGCTCATATCGGGCTTCTCGGGCATATTTTTCTTGTGCATTCCGAGAGTTCATTGCTATATGAGGTCCCCCAAAGATGGTCCCTACTAGGTAGAGTCCTTTGCGACCTTTGCACCTCTCTCCGCCATCTTCTTGATCCTTCTCCCTTATGAGAATTGGACCATTAACGTACTCTTTAAAGTGGTCCTTCTAGATAAGGTCTTCAATTGCCAACTTAAGAGCTCGACTCATCGATATGATGCCCATTGTCCCTATGGTAACGGCAATATTTCTTGTCATTCCTTTTAGATGCGAGTTTATTCATGGATTCTGGTTTTCCGAGCATATTAGCTTATGTTGATTTATCCAAAATAGCTGAAACCGATACATTGAGTGGAGTGCAATTGTCGTGATCGCAATCTCGATCGCTACGAGGAACAAGAGCGTAAGATTTCTTAGGCTCAAACTGATATTTGTTTCCCTTTCTCTGATCATCATTAGCCCATTTATGATCATTTCTTCTACTACTCTCTCCTTGGAATTCATCCCTTCGATTGGGAGTCTGGTCAAAGGCCCGGGGTCGTGGCGATTTAAGGCTACCACTAAGTTTTCTATCAGTAGATACTTTTCTGTTAAGTTGTAGAAGCGAGTAAGGGAAATGTCATCCTCTGATTGTAGTTTCTTTCTCAAGTCAGTTTGTGAGCGAACTCCAGCTATAATCAGAGTTTGAACTGAATCTTCATGTATATTATCCACCTTATTCAATTCCGTGTGGAACTTGTCAATATAAGACTGGAGAGACTCATTCTTCTCTTGTTGTATGTCACTGAGATAGTTGAGTAATATCGAGAACTTTTGATTAGTCTGGAAGTGTCTCAAGAACAACGAGCTCATTTGTTGCCACGAGTTGATAGACTTTAGTAGAAGCGATCTAAACCAATGCTTAGCGTGGGCAGTCAAAGTCACTACTAAGCAGCGACACTTCGCTAAGTTTGAAACTTGGTGAAGCTCCATGAGGTCGTTAAACTCATAAAGGTGATCCTGATGATCAAAATTCTCATCGAATGCTCCCATATCGGGCATTCTAAATCTTAATGAGAAAGGAGCAGTCAAAATTGCTGGAGAAAAGGGAGACGCCTCAGCGACTTGCCCTTGCTCATTCTGTTAAGCTCGAAGCTAATCCAAAACTCATTGTAAATCTTCTATCTATGGAAATGGAGCCCTTTGCGGATTACTTTATGCAATGTAGGTATGCTTCCTATGATTGTGATTGATGAAAGACTGTAAGTAGGTGCTTTCTCTACCTTGGTCGGAGCCTTTGGCATGCCTTGACACTTGCTAGCCTGATCCTATGAACGCATTGAGTGGCTGAGGGAGTTTTCCCTACTTTGTGGTGGTCAAAATCGACTCGTTGACGGTGGCTACTTTCCTTGTGATGATAGTCTAAACCATCATGCCAGTGATGGTAGGAATCTCCCTGTCAGGCACTCGTGTGCGTCCCTTACGACGTGCCATGGGTCTGCTCTTGGTGCGACATACTACCAAGTCGCTGAGTCACAGGTTTTTTTCCTTGCTCACGATCAGTATTTGTCTGCCCTTTTGAGCCTTTTGGCCCATGCTCGACCATTTGCTTACCCTTATTCTTTTGCACTATAGTGTCTATGGTATGAACTTTCACTCGTTTCCACGTTTTAGAGTGACCTACAGACATTTTCAGAGGTGGTACCACCTTGTCTGACTTTGGTGGCATAACCTGATCCAAACGATCCAACCTCTGGTTCATCGTCTGGAGCGTGATGTTGAATTTCTCCAGGTAGTCGTTCAAAGCAGGATCTGCCTAGAAAGTCAAAGGGATGTCCCTCGCAGTATTCTGGGGAGGTGGACTACTTCGGGAGTAGTAGTTTCCTAACTGTGGGGAGTCTCCTCATTATTGGTGCCAACGTGCTCGACTTCAAAACCACGAGTCATGAGTTTTTGTGATTAACCTTTGAAGGTGAAACTGACTGGTCAGTTGAGAATACTGGACAGAGAGCTGATGTGAATCAAAGTCCTCCTTCTAGTGCCAAATTGTTGATGCTTGATTTTGACACTAACAACTTCGCACGTGCAAAGTGTTAAGAGATATCCTAGAAATTACACGTGAAATGACTATAAGAGTTGACTATGGGGGTACTGTTATCACAGTAACATGCAAAGACTTAGAGTAAATGAGATGATGAGAATTTTACAGTGGTTCAGATGCTTAAAGCGATTCCAACATCCACTATTTTCTTTTATATGAGTGTTCTTGGTGATAAGCCAAGTGTACAAGAGATCGTGAACTGCGATCTGAGTTACAAGTGCTTGGTATTTTGAGAGAATATTAAGATATCCCGTAGGGTGTCTTTGCTATTTTCTTTGTTAAATTCAGAGTGTTTGATCTCGATTTTGTGAGGGGAGCTACCTATTTATACCCCTTGAGCTCAAGGTAAATGATTACATATCTGCAAGTGGGTAGGTGTCGAGCAAATCCTTCCTAGCGCCTCATTGGTTGATAAGTTAGGAAATATCATTAAATTAAATGGGGTTTTGACAGGTGTGCGAACCAAATTCATTCACAGACAAAACTTGAATTGGTTGGGTTGTTGACAGCTATATTCTTCCTATCTTGAGTGACGTGGCAAACTTTAGACGGCGCAAAACCTTCTTGAACTCTGATTGGTGCTCGCTAACATCAGCTTATGTCAGCCATGATTTTTTAGGCATAACATATATATACCTAAAAAAATTATCCATGTCATTGATACATGGGAATTGTATAAAAACATGCTAATAATAAGTTTTATTATTTAAAATATATTTTTTATTTAAAAAATTAAGAGAAGTGAAGATACGACTTACATGATAAATTAAACTTATTTTAATCTTGTGGAAGAATGAAATAAAATTATTTTTAACTTAAATGAATTTTAAGAAATGAAAGAAGGAAAAGATGTTTGAGTGAATCTACCAATATGTGTTTTTCTATTAATTGTAATTTGGATATTTATTCTTTTTTAAATAAAAAAGTGTCTAAAGAGTTGGTGGATCAATTTTATTTAATAAGATTAAGAGATTCTTTTTATAAAATTAAGTTATATCATTTAATAAAATAATAATTTTAAAAATAATAATTTTTTTAGTTCTTTTTCTTTTCAAAAGTTCTCACTCGAGCTATAGCCCATGTGAGCTTGTAATTTGCTTCCACCCTTGACGCAGCAAAACATAATCGTGTGTTAGCCTTGCTTTTATGCTCACTCGTTGTTTCAACCCCTATGGCTAAACAACTCGTCAAATGATTGGGCATGATGATGCATGGTCTCCATTATTTAATAAATTGGAAGCGATCGGTCTCATTGATGTCATTGAAATGAGTATACAAGACAAGTAACAAGTGTATTTAGGTTTTTGGAACCAAGTCCTTATACACGGCTTTAGCTATAATATATACATGTAATAGTGTATCTTACAAGTTTTACATTCTTAGTTTACAAGTTTTCCGTTCTAGGTTTACAAAAATCACGTTGATGTATTAGACAAATATTGTAGCAAAACCCCTTATACACAAGCGCACGAATGAATATCTAAAAATGTATTATTTAAGATTTTAAGTCTTAATTTTATTGAAATATTAGTAATCAACGTTGTTGTTTTCCTCTTTAAACCATGAACAAACTTATTTTAATAACTTTATATAAATATTTAAGATATTTAATTAATTTTGGAAATTTTTTTGACAATTTAACCATTATATTTAAAGTCTTTTAACTCTAATTATTCTTATTAGCTCATATCTTATTTCAATGTGTCAAGTTTACTTGTCGTCAGCATTAACTAGTGAACACATGACACAACGTCATAGAAATAAGAGGGGAACGTAAGCCCACTCCCACAACAAACCGACAAGTCATCCATACGGCAAACAGCAGTAAGTATCCTGAAAATAGTGGAGTAACTAAAACAGATTGAATTAATTACATGAAATACCAAAGGGGGCAACTTTTCTTGACTACAAGTTTGTGTATGGGCGTAAGGTTACAGACAATGAGACAGTGGGGAGCTCAGTTACATGTTATATAAAATTATACAACCATCTAAATTAGCATTTATGCTAAACTTATAATGTCATACACGAAGTAACAAATTGAGCATCTTTTTCTATTAAGCATGAAAGAAAACTGTACACCATTAAGATCTTTCTTATGGTCTTTTTACAGTTTATTCTGCCCCCCATTGATGGTGTTCTGGAATCCTGTAGTCATGTCAGCATAAATGCTGAAGGAACAAAATTATTCCCAGAACGAAATATCGAGGCACAAACATTTGTACTGCATATAAGTTGCCAGAAAGACTTCCATGGTACAACAAGCCAAGAGTGCAAAGTCTTCCACAAACTACTCTCAATATCGAAGCACGATCATCGTTCTGTGTGACTCTGTCTCCCATCATGAGCTCTTCTGGTTTATAAGCCAAGAGTGTCAATGCTGAAATTTGAGAATCAAAAGATCACTGTAAGGATGCATATACATATGCCTCACTTCAGTTACTTCTCCGGGATGCCTGAAATGCCTTATGTTACAAAAAAGTACTCTCTTTAGCTCTTAATTACAGCTACCTCAACTGAGAGGCAGTGAGTTGGTTTAAAGGCTTGTGTCACAGTTCATATATTAAACAAAAAGAACCCAATAAGAATACTTCAGAAAATCATGATTCCAAATTCTCGCGAACACGAAAAGAAAGTCTTCGTGCTGATTCCTCATCAAAGGACTTATCCATCTCCTTAATTTTCGATACAAAGTCCATGGCTTCCTTATATTTTCTTGCTTTACAATAGCCATCCACAGCAATCTTATAGGTCAGTTCGTTGGGTCTGCAATTATGCTGAAACATAGAGCTAATCACATCATCTACCTCCGTAAACATTCCCTGTCCAGCATAGCCTGCTATAAAGGTATTGTAAGTAAAAATGCACGGTCGAATGCCTGCAGTGGTCATTTCATGTAAAATTCTTAAAGCCTCCTGCATCTGCCCTTGTCTGCAAAATCCTTTGATAACAGTGTTATAAGAAACAAGGTCAGGCTTTCCACCAGACTTTATTAGTCCTCTAAGGACTTCTTCTGTTTTCTGAGACTCTCCCCCTCTGGCATACATGTCCATCAAGTTATTGTAGGTGAAAAGATTAGGCTGCTGTCCACTTTCACGGATCAAGAGCAGCATCTCATGGGCCCGGTCATACAGGTTGTTCTTGGCAAAAATCGAAAGCATCGAATTATAGATAACCAAATCAGGTTTGTATCCATTCTTTTGCAGTTCTAAATATGCCCTCTCCGTACCCTCTAGTGATCTGCACTTGAAGTTTGCAAGAACAAGGGATCTCAAAAGCATCCAGCTAGGAAAGATATGGCCATTGTAAATTTCTTTCTCAAGATTTACTATACCCTTCAGATTCCCGCCCTTCGCATAACAATGGATCATCGTTGAGTGCGAGGTTTCAGTAGGCTTAAAGCCCTTAGCTTTCATGTCAAGAATGACAGATTCCGCTGCTTTCCAGTCCCCTCGTCGAGCCAGAGCATTCAGAAGTGCATTATAAGATGTAACACATGGAGTAAAGCCAGCCTTCATCATCTCCTCAAACATTTTTGAAGAATCAATTCCCGAGCCACAGCGACCATAAGCACTAATCAGAGTGTTGAACGTGTCTCTATCAGGCTCAAAACCACAACTCTTCATTTCTCGAAAGACGAGATTCACATACTTGTCCATACCTTTAGTACCACACATAGCAAGCATAGTATTCCATGTAATACGGTTTGGCGTACATCCACTGGATTTCATTTCACAGAGTATCTTCACCATCTCCTCTAATCTTGATTTCTTCCCCAACATCCCAAGAACAGTATTGTAAGTACACACATTAGGAACGCAACCCGACTCCTGCATCCGGTCGAACAGACTTAAAGCCTCGTTCACTCTCCCTGCTCTTCCATACGCATTTATTACAGTAGTATAGGTAACAGCATTCGGCATTACTCCTTTACTGGCCATGGTGTCTATCAAAGCAGCCCCTTCCTCACAGAATCCCGCCCTCACATAAGCAGCCACAAGCTCATTATAAGTCACAGAATCAGGGGGACAATTATTATCCTCCATTTCTTTCAAAATACTCAAGGCCTCAGAATAAATCCCTGCCTTCCCAAATACTTGTAGTAAAGAATTATAAGTTACAGTTCCCGGTACATATCCCTGCAACTTCAGTCCATCAAAGAACTCTTTCGCTTCATTCAACAAACCCTCTCTCCCACAAGCAGATATGACAGTACTACAAGTAAATTCATCAAATTCAAGTCCCGTGCTTCTCATCTCATCCAAAAGACCTAAAATCTTATGCCACGACCGCCCCATCTTCCCATAAACATCAAGCATGACATTATATGTTACCAATGTAGGACTCAATCCACTCTCCTTCAATCTCTCAAACAAAGTTATTGCTCTCTCATACTTCCCCATCCGAGAATACGCGTGAAGAACACTCGTATAAGCCCTCACATCCAAAGAATACTCCTCAATCGAAATTGCATCGAAAAGTTTTGAAGCAATTGAATGTTGTGACTCTCGCCCAAGAATTCTAACCATTAATTGAACAGCCTCTTTATCTACTTTCTCATTTTCAATAATAGTATTCCTAACAACCCACTCAAACAACAAAAGGGCTCTTTCCCAATTCCCTGAAACGTCTAATGCTTTCAAAATACCAACCAAATCAACTTCGAGCAACTCAAACTTACAAGAATCAAACAAATCACTCAAACCATTCAAAGGGCACTCCATAATTGAATTAAACAACAAATTACCCTTTCTGGACAAAAAATCAAGACCCCCATCTTCACTCACACCCTCAGCTTCCTTGTCCTCAAACTTTGGAGCCAAAACTGAAGTGGGGTTCTTCAAGTTCACATTTTTAAGCCTTTTCTGAGCAGAAATGTGGAGAGACTTGAAGGGTTTGGAGTTGTTGGGAGGGGAAGAGAGATGGTGAAGTTGTTGAAGGAGAGAGTCTAAGGGGAAAGAAGAAGGAGAAGATTGTGAAGGGGGAGGGAGAGGGAGAGTTGCAGAGCTGAATTTGAGAGGAGGGTTTGGTGGAATTGGTTTTTTTATTGGAGTGCTTGGATGAAGAGGCCTGTTGGGGAAGATTGAACCCTCCATTTGAGAAAAAGTTTTGAGCTTTGGCTTTAGAAATGGTGAAAAGAGATAAGAAAATTTGAAGTTAGAAAAGAAGAGAGCAAATTCATTACTTTTGTTATGGATTGAGAGATAGAGGGAGAGGGATGAAGGGACAATCTATCTGAGATGAATGGTGTTTATTGAAGATGAAGGCGGGATGGGCACAAGATGAGATTTTTTTTTTTTTTTTTTTTTTGAACTTTTTGTTGGGTTAATAAAATAACAAACTCTTCGAAGAGATATAATAATAACGAAATTAAAATTAAACTTTTTGTTGGGTTAATAAAATAACAAACTCTTCGAAGAGATATAATAATAACGAAATTAAAATTAGTGTTTTAAAATCTGGCCCACCTTAACTGGTTGAACTGGTTCAATCGGGACTAGGGCCTTCACTGGCTCGAGTTACAAATTTTCCTATTTATTGGAAACTCTAAAAATTAGGACATCAATTCATAAACAATCAAAGGTTTGAATTTTAGGGTTTTTGAAGAGGAATGACCGATGAGTGCAATGATGGTTACAGAGGTGATTTCTAATGAGTGAATCGATTGAAAATCACAAAAATATGTCATCGAAAAAAGCCCGCTGTTGCCAACGATTGGGAAAGCGAACTAGGAAGAGATAAGTTTTGGTCAAGAGACTAAGTGTTGTTATCGTTGGAAATAGGCCCTATTTGTCAACGTCAACGGTGGTTTTGGGGGTGTTTTTGCTAGATTTCAAACCTATAAAAACTTACATGTAACTTTCAAGGTATTTTTGTTATATTTCAAACTTTTGAACATCGATCAACCCAAAACCTAACCACTTTGCTAGGTTTCACCCTTGATCAACTCGAGATCGACCACTTTGCCAAGTTTCACCCCGAATTGGCTTTTAAAACATTGGTTAAAATAAATAGTTTTGGGTAATTTCATAAATATTAATTAATTCATCATTTTATAAATTCTAAAGGGCTCACTAATTAAAAAGGGATTTATGTTATTTCTAAAATTTCAAAAAACATTTTGTTATTTAACTAAACCTTATGTGTGGAGGAAACCCTTTTTTTGTTAACATATATGAATTTGAGAAGTGAAATAAATCTCTCTTTAAATGATACTGTTATTTTTTTTTTTTTTAATGTGTAAAGAATTTAAATTATTATGATGAATCTAAAAATTATTTATATTTATAAATTAATAGATAATTTTATTGGGGAGGGTTATAATTTATAATGTTTAATTATCAAATAACAATAATTATCCAATGTTTTTATCTATAGCACAAATGAGGGGAAAAAAAACCTAAAACCTTTTTAACTCTCACTAGTAGAAAAAATGTGTACATCGAAGGGATATTTATTTATTTTATTTGATATATAAATATAATTGAATTGATTTAAAATTTGAATAGATAGAAATGGCTGAATATGGATACTAAGACATAATTCAAAATAGTGAAGAAAAAGTAACATAACTATGTTAGGTACCGTTAAATTTAACGGAAAAGGATAAAAAAAATATATAAATGCCCTACATATATTTTTGAAAAATAAATATTATTATAAAAAAACTAAAAATTAAAAATAAACTAAGAAACCAATAAATTAAAAAAAAAAAAAGAAGCCAAAACTAAAACTAAAAATAATTAAAAATTAAAAAATTAAAATCAGCAACGGAATTTGAAAATTTGCATCATTTGTTCACAGATATTCAACTTTAGTTAACTATGAAACTATTAAGCCCAAAAATATTAAGAGTCTATAATCATACAACATGCCGGGTGATTCGGGGCGTCTATTGATGTTTTAACTTTGAAGGTTTTTGTTTTCAAAAATGAATTTAAAATAAAAAATAAATGAATTTATTTCTATATTTTTAAAATTTGAAAACGCTTTCACTATCATCTTCAGAAAACAATATCTAAATTTGAAAACATATAAAATGACTTCTCTAATGATAATTGAAGAATTAGTTTTATGAGCAATGATGAATTTAAATTTGATGTATGAAAAATAAATAAAGGTAACATTTTATTGCTAAGCTTATTGTTAATATCTGAAGCGCAAAACTTTTAACGTTTCTGCAGAAGATCACTAAACAAAACGCTGTTGTTTCACTGCAAATAAGAACAGATCTCAGTCGCTGAAATGAAGAAGATCCAACGACCAAGATTAGCTCATGAGGTCAAACTATATAAAGGGAGAGTTTTTTACACATAAATAGATTTTTTGCTTCTTCTCTTTGTGCGATAGATCGTGGTTGCTCTTGTGTTGAAAGTTTTGTTGTCAATCTTGTTTTAGTTACAAATCTGTGTAATCTTGGGTGAGGGTAGGTTGTTCCTTCAGGTTAGGGAGACTGCATCAGGTCTTCTCTAAAGATTTCATGTTTGTGTGAGTGGATTAAAGATTGATCTTTGTGTGAATCGTTGAGAGCAGTTTGTAATTTGTAATAACAGTTTATTCCTAGTGCAGTGAGCCCCAAAAAATTCCTGGAGCTCAACGTGGATGTAGTCTTTCCATTGTTGTCTTAAGCTTGAGACATGTTAATTTGATGTTTTTAAAAATGAACTGGTGAATAATGTTTCAATATAATAATTTTCTAACATTGTACACACAATTTAAATTAATCATGTTTAATTATACTTTCAAATAATAATTATTATTATTATTATTATTTTTTATGATCGGGTTACAAATTATTTTCACAAAACGCAACGAATTCATAGATGTACATACGGTAACATATCATAATTTTTTTTTAATTTATGTAAAATTATTATCCATGTCACACAATCAATGTTAATCTTATTAACACATGAATTGACATGAAGTATTTTGTAGCCAAGTCAATTTTAAACATTAGCAGGTGAATACACATGCCCACACGAGTATTCATGGCCAACCATACCTTTCTCTCTCTCTTCTTGTTTCTCATTTTATTTCACAACACATTTATCACATAATCACTCTTGGGTGGCTGAGTGGGACGACATGGATTCTTAGGTGTAATATTCAAAATGTCTTGAATTTGATTCCTCTTGATTGCTAATAGTGGTCAAGTGGTGACCACTAGAGAGTTTATCTAATCGTTAACTTCAAGAACCTAAAGATTTATCGAAGTACGCACAAATTGACTCGAACAACCCGTCCACAAAAAAAAAAAAAAAAAAAAAAGTTTATCATATTATAAATTCTTTGTACTGGAATTGTGATACTTAAAAAATAAGCAAAATGGTATAACATTTAGAAATTAATGAAATTTATCATCTTACAAATTATTCTTTAAAGTAACAGAATATATTCTTATACTTAAACTCACTAAATTATATAAATACCATTGAATATTATACAAGTACATATATGCTTCCAATGTTAAGTAAATCAACTATTTAATTCTAAAAATTAGTTTGTTATTAGATATAATCATATAATTCCAATATAAAATCAAAAGAGTAATATTTTACTTAAAAGGAAAAACACCATCAAACAAAATACTAATAATTAATGATTTTTTTTTTTTTTAAATTTTTGCTATGCCAAAAAAAGTAAGGTTGACGTGGAGCCTTGTCAGTAAAGGATGGTCAGAGTTCAGAAGGGTTATGCACCGTTCAGGTGCGGCTACGTCGCGCCTAGCGCAGGTGGCATGACTCTTGTCAGTGCAACAGGTGAGTGTCAGGCCAGCAAGCGGCTGGAGATCGCCCACGTGTCAAAGCCCTGCTTTAATAGAGGAAATCCCTCGAGTAGGTGATCAATGGGATGCAAAGAAAGGATATGCACAGCACCTATCCACTTGCAACTTTCATAATAATTATCTTGAACTTTCCCACTATAAATAGAGAACTTCCCTCTCATTTGGGGGGATTAGCTGATTTTACGCTGAAATAGCTCTCTCTCTCTCTCTCTCTCTCTCTCTCTCTAAACTGTAACTCAACTCGCGGAACGCAACCTGATCTCTCTCTTATTAATACAATAGCAGTGGACGTAGGATTCGCTTTAGAGCATCTGAACCACTTTAAATATTGCTCTTCACCTTTCATTTGATTCAATCCCCTCATATCAAGTGTAACTTCTAGGTCATTTTAGCATTTTACATGTGCGAATAGTTGGTGTCAAAATCAAGCATCAACAGTTTGGCGCCAGAAGGAGGGTCTGATTTAGTACCTACTCTTCATTAGAAAAATTTCTGACTAACTGGTCCCACAACGGCAAATGGCTCGTGGTTTCGAATCTGAGCGAACCAATCATGGCAATGAAGAAATCCCCTAGATCCAGGAGGACACTTCTCCCGAAATGTCGTCAATCTAGCAGAATATCACGGGGGATATTCCTTCAACCTCGCGGCTCGACCCAGCCGTCATAAGTTACCTAAAAAGGTTCGATAATACTCTTCAAACGACCCACCAAAGGCTAGACCGATTGGATCGGGTCATGCCACCCGAATCCAATGAGGCGACACCACTGCCAAAAACGCCTGCAGGTCATGTGAAAGAGCGGGAAATGGTGAAAGCCCATACCATGAGCACTACAGCGTCTTAGAGAAAGGGAAAGCAAGTGGCGCATAGCGGACCCAAGGGCTCCGAGGGACTAGCGAACACCAATCATGCCCCGGGAAGATTATCCATGGCATTGCGACTTGGCGATATGTCGCAGCATGAGTTGTCCCGCGCCACGACGCACGGGCACTCCTATAAAGGTGCAAGGCGGGGAGATTCCCAATATCGCCAGAATGACGACTTCGGTCGTCGTCGTGCACAAGATTCCCATCCTCTGCGGGTCGGTTCGTACCACCATGGAGGTCGGGAAGACTCCCTGAATCACAAGATGCAATCACACGGCTCTAGCCAACATGTGCCGAGATTGGCCGAAGCTTTTGGCCGAGTTGAGGAAGAGTCCGATTTGTGGCATTTCTTTAACCGCAACCATGAGGGTCAAACCCACGTTGCGGAAAGTGATCCCTGGATCAGCTTAAGGCTCAACAGAATGAGTAAGGGCAGGTCATAGAGGCGTCTCCCATTTCTCCGGCAATGTTAACTGCCCCTCTCCTATCGAAATTCAGAATTCCCAACATGCGAGCATTCGATGGGAATTCCAATCCGCAGGATTATTTATACGAGTTCAACGACCTCATGGAACTCCACCAAGTTTCTAACTTGGCAAAATGTCGTTGCTTGGCAGTAAC